CGGAAAAGTTTGCACCGTAAACGTAGACATGTCTGCAAGAATAAAAAGAACGTACCGATGGTACAAATGATGGATGTTCTTCGGGTGTTGGAAGGTTCCACCTCGATGTCCTACGAAAAAATGCTGGTCAGGACCTGAGGCCGAGACATGGCGCGCAGAAGAGGAAAAAGGAAGGGAAGGGAGGGAGCGGAAGACAAGGAATACGAAAGCATAACTACCATGCAAGAGATCCATTCTAGCTTTGTGGTGACGAGGTCGGCCATTCTGTGTCTGTATTGGGGAGATGAGGGAGGACAGCTGTCTGCGTTTCTGCAGGAAGGATGCGGTGTTATCGATGCGAGCATTTTTCGGGCGACTTTGGATACAGGAGAGAAAAGGGGAATTTCTGCCTCAGATCAATTAAGCTCAAATTCCCACCTCAACGCAGAGAAGAACATCTATCCCTCATCATCGTCATCATCATCTCCACCATCATCATCCGTATCATGGACCACTGCGAATTCGTCTTGTGTCGATTATGTTGGTTCCGGCCCAGCGCACGTCACTCATGATACTCGTATAATTATTGCCGTGATTCGAAATAAATACTAGATGAAATATAATATTCGTGGCATGTTTCATTATAATATTGGATCTATGCTATTGCACAAGTTATGGCAAAATTCAATTATGATCATCTCACTGCAGTATATAAATAGAGTATTTATTCATTAATGTGGCACATATGGGATTTTGAAATATAATATCATGAACCGACATCGACACAAATTGGAAGAATCAAATATCATCCGGAATGATGCTTATAGTAGTTCGGCTCCCGCCAATGATTGAGGACCCGTTGCCGTCAATACCTTAAGCATCTCAAATATGAGCATACGATGAAGCTCTCCTGGCTATTAATAGTTTTTTGGCTTCCATGATAGCTTATGTTCAAGCATGTTATGTTTTTTATCGATCAATAGCCTAACTGTGTAAAATTATCGGGCACTATCTGCGTTTATCATGCATAATTGCGCCCCAGGCTTCGCCCATACCATTGCCATCCCGGGGACAACCGTTTAATGAGGCAGCTAATATGATCGATATTCTCTGAATCGGCTAATCTGACCCTACTCGGTTCATTCCGCTGCAATCAATGTCATCTCAAAATTTCCATTATTCACTGAAAGGAAAGGACAAAAAAAAATTTGCAGAAATTAAAAATGATGAACCGATATTCAATACCATTTGTTTTTCAATTTTCTGTTAATTTCTGAAGATTTTTTTCCCTTCAGCCATGAGAGATCCAAAATGCATAAACCTGACAGTTGGACAAAAGCCAACCCAGATAATATGCGTGACATCACTTGTCAATCTAGCGGCAAAGTCGTTACGGTTTAATCATTAATGGGCAAGCATGCATCCAAATCGGCCCACTATGCCAGAAGCGGTACTCGAATAAGTGTAGCGGCATTCTAAATATTAAACAAAGGGCAGGGGAATTGGGAATAAAAGCTTCCACTTTTTAGACAAGCAAAAAGAATTCCAGATGCGTGTGATTTGAGCGAGGAACCGCTTCCCTCCTGACATCAGCAATAATCTCTGCGGACTCCCCGTCTCTGTCGTTGCGAGAATTGCTTCTTATATTGTCCTGAGCATCTAGTACACTAAAAGTATATCACACAGTATCAGGGTCGCTGTACTTCGTCTGTATTTCGTCTGAATTGCACTGTTTGTCAATTCGTCATATAGTCCCGACCCAATTTTAGCAACAAAGCGTGCAGACGGTATGTGTGGCTGTTGACTTAAAAGCATTTTCAGTCGACAACTTTTTATTCTCTTCTCAGACGTCTTTCGGACTTTTGCAAAGAAGTGAACCTGACATTGTATCATTCGTCCCCTTCATCCTTTGCATAGACTTCCTGCTCTTCCAGCTCGGCCCTCTAACTGAATCCGATAATAATGGCTTCGTCAAACCAAAATGCATCATCACAGCAGCATTACAACCATAACCTGGACTCTGAATATGCCGCTTCTGCATCCGCTCTATTGTCTGCCCTACCTACTAGTCAGCATCCGATGAATAACTCCTCTAGCGGTTATCCGCAGAACATCACTTATGACCCAAATTATCAACAGTCTGATAATGTGATTTCCTTGGTAGACTATTCAGAAGACTCGGGAGATTCATTGGATATACCGAATCAAGATATTCCCGCTACGACTGTATTGGAGAATGGGCCAAATGTTACCAACGAGAGTCGTCCTCCTCGAACTCCAGAGTCAGCTTTGAACTCCCAACGTCAGTCTCCCCATCCTCCGAGACAAAGTTATATTCGAAGCAGCACAATGGGATCACCGTTACAACCGAACCCATCAGTAAATGGTTATTCTTCAACAACTCAGGGCCAAGCTATTGCAACCCCCCAGTCTCAATTTGCCAGTCAGCAGTTCTATTCGCCGTATCCTCAACACCCATCTGAAGCAAGCAACTCTGCTGTATCATTTAGTTCATTGGAGAATCCTCAATTGAATTCTCAATATTCAGCACAACAAGCTCCGCCATCTTTTTCCGACGGTCAACCCAGACCAATGTCAGAAATGTATGCAAATCGACCCACGGCCGCTGCTGCTCCCGTTATGCCATCATTCCGCAATAGTATCGCTTCCCCGAACTCTGCGCAGCAGACTCAGTCTCAACAGAAGCCCGCTCCGACATACTTGAATTATGATAATTTTTCCAATGAGCCTGCCCCAGCGCCCCCGCCAAAGCACTCTCATAATATGTCTAGTTCCTCCGCTTTTCCCTACAATCGAACTTCACCTGCATATGTGCATCCTCAACATCAACACTCTTCGTCATCTGTTTCTCTTCCTTATGGTCAACCGAATACCCATTCTCAAATGACTCTAACGGAATCCACGAATAAACCTCTTCCTGTCATCGAACCCACCCGTCCCCCGACCAGTAAGCGTCCACCCCCATCTGATCCTTCGCAAGCACCACCACCTCGCCGCCGATACTGTCGCTTTAGAACTCGTCTTGGATGTTGTTGCTGCTTCTCATTCTTATTCCTTATTTTGATAGCGGCTGGTTTAGCAGTGTTCTTTGTGTTCTTTTTCAAAGCGCCCAATGTTCAATTCGACAGAGCAGTACCTCCGTCTGACGCACAACCATTTACTATTCAAAGCGACGGTACCTGGACAATAAATTGGGGACTTAGATTTAACGCTACCAATCAAAACTTTTTTACAATCAATCTGAATAATTTGGCAGTCAATGTACGCTCATTTTTCTTTTTTATCCAACACATGTGTGTATCAAATTTAACGCAATCCTTTTAATTTCCGTTACTTTTTTCAGGGTTTCCCCACTGCTGAACGAACACCGCCCGCTCTAGCTACAGGCAGTCTCCCTAATTTGTCCCTTGCCTCAAACCAACCCAACCAATTTACTCTCCCGTTCCAAATCACATATAATCCTTCAACGGCCCTAACGGATCCTCGCTCACAATTCTTGGTAGAACTAGTTAGATCTTGCACTGGTTCCGACAATGGTAGAATCAAAATGTTTGTAAACATAGAAGTTGGCTGGGTGGTAATTAGTTGGACAGGATACAAATTTAAGTTTGATCGTGATTTAGATTTTGCTTGTCCGGTTGATTTAAGAAATTTACGTGATCGGCTGGGACAACGGTAATCGATGGAAGATTTTAATGGCTTTTGTGAGTTGGTTTTGGGTGATCACGGAGAGAGAACAAAAGCAAAATGGAAAAAAAATTGATACTGTTCTTGCTTTTATTATTTATATCTTGAGTACTTTTTCTTGTATAAAATATAAATGTACTATCGAATTGATGAATTGATTTAAACTGTTCGATAAATTGATCGATATCAAGTAACTTTGCAGGGAAAAATAAAAATCATCAGATTTGGGAATTTGGACATATTTAAGGTCGCTGCAGAGCAGTCCAACCAGGTATAAAAGCGGGAATGATATGAACTTTTCTGTCGTCCTTGCGTTAATGTAATATCATTCGTATTGCGACCACATCTCTCAGTTGTCTTCGTGGTGTAGTCGGTTATCACGTCTGTCTAACACACAGACGGTCTCCAGTTCGAATCTGGACGAAGACATTTTTGGTCGGTTGTCGTTTTACTACAGTCAATAAATCATTTTGGTTTAGCAAGCAGGCTATATTAAACTAAGGTTTACTATTCTGAAAAATTTAATGCACATTCAACCTTTGATAAATTAGGAAATCATGAGAATACTTTGATTATGGAGAAATCAATCTAACATCAGCAATCATCTTCATGATTTACGTACATTTCCACCAAAATTTACATTCTACTGTTCGCAGAGGACATAACGACCTTTCATCTTTTTAAGAGACCAAACACAACAACAGAATGACATGATCATTGACGTTAAGCAATGTGAATTGTTACTGTCCCCTTTCTTGACCTCCACGGTTATTTCGCCTATGAGTCACTATTCCGCAGTTTTTTACATTCTGATCATTTCATTCTGTTGCACTTGCGACCAGCGCCAACCGATACCTGCGTGGTGCTGAGTCTCGCACGAAGATGAAGGGTGCGTCGTAATGTTGTCAGCGAAGAGTAGAATGGATGAAAACATGTGTTGGTCTCAAAAGTAATTGCTGTCGATTGCGGCGAATGAAGTTGCCAGCGAGGTTGTCAATAAAAAGACGGAAGGGAATGGGGGCCGAGAGTGAGCCGAAATTGAGCTTCCGGATTTGACATCTGCGGCGAGGAAACCCGGGTGATACTTGATTATTGCTCGTGACTATTGGTGATATCAGACTGTTTGTCGACGGAAGATGTCAGAGCGGAATTATGGATAGGAAAGATGAGTGATAGTGTTCCACCGTAACGGAAAAGGCCCTACCGATAATGATAGAGACAATGAATAAATAAGAAAGGTGGTGAACGTTCCTATATGTCGCAAAATATCATTGAAGGGAATAAGGATTAAAAAATTGATCTACCAATCAGTTGTCTTCGTGGTGTAGTCGGTTATCACGTCTGTCTTACAAGTCACAAGCTTGTGGAACACAGACGGTCTCCAGTTCGAATCTGGACGGAGACACTTCTTTTTTATTTTTTTCAAAATCCTCACTGAAAATTGGTTTAACAGGTTCTAACATTTCCATATTTCCCTGGTCAAAATGTGTGTCGCAAAATCGAGTGTTTATAGACTTAATTTATATTATTTTCATTAATATCTTTGAGTATAATACATCTTCAGCAGTTATTCTTACATCAATCATCATTTAAAAGTTGACCATCCTTTTCCTTCCCATCCCCACCCATCATCAACAAAATTATCATCTAAACCTGGGTCCGCATTATACAAATCCAGAACTGGCTTTTTAGTTGTATTGTGTTTAGGAAGTGTCTTGGAATTTGTCGATGAATTTTCTGATCGAGAGTTCGTCTTGGAGGTCATGGGTTTAATACCGCCTGATGAAACGAAAGGGAAAAAACAAGGAAAGCAGTAAATGCTGTCAACTTCCAAGTAAAAATGAATTACAATCAATTTAAACCGACTCACCTCGTCCCCGCTGTACTTGACTTGAAGAGCGTAAATTTCTGGATGACCCATCACACTCAAAATCATTTGGCTCATCTTCCATATCCTCTCTAAAACTCGACGTTGTCCTGGAATTTGTTGTGGACCGTCGGGATCGTGATGTTGACGTTGATGTTGATATAGAACTGTTATTTGATCTGACTTCCTGCTGTTTTTTGAGCGCATAATAGCGTTTCCTATTGCCACCAGCCTGTTTCCACAAAGTTTTCGAAGAAGACCCCCGTCCTCTCCGTCGTCCTCTACCGCGACCGCGTCCGGTCCCTTCAGTAGAGGACTGACCACGACTTCTTGACGAGCTGGTCGTAGACCTCGATGTGGTTGGATTACTGCCATCATTAAATTGTTGATAATATTTCGCCATTGTTGAGTCTCGAGAAGTGAGGTCACCCAGACTACTGAAGTCGGTGGGTACTTGATCCAGTTCGTCCGGAGTGAAGTCGTCCAGGTTGAATTCTAAATCATCTTCCACAAGTTCAAGACGTGAGTCATCCTCCTGGGAAAGGTCATCCTCATAATCCTGAATGTCATCCATAGATGCGTCCCCATAATCGTCCTGATAAAACTCATCGTACGGTTGCGGATACGAATTCTCATTATTTGATCTATCCTTCCGCCCTGACTTACTATCACCAATCGTAATGTCCCTGTCATTCGCTTTGCTCAATCCGTTTGATTCCCTCAAAGAATTGACCTTTCCTTCATACTCAGCGTCGTCGTCGTTGATAATGTTTCTCTTTTCAGCATTTAGATCAAACATACTCTTAAATGTTGACGCATAGTTTTTAGTACCGATATCTTTGTCAACTGTTTGATCGTCTTTTGATTTATGACAGCCACTAGTATGAGAGTTCATAAATAGTTTGGGGAAGAATTGATTGCAGTACGGACATTGGGAGTAATCAGATTCTAGATGCGATTTTGAAATGAGTCGTGGCTTCGGGCCTTGTTATCAACCGTCCCAGAAACGAAAATGTGAGAAACTGAATTTAACTATTCTATTTGAAGCACTACCAAAGCATACCTGTTAAGGAATACGGAGAGTCTTTGGCGAAGGAAAGAGAATCCAGTTGATGATGTGGTGAAGATAAATTCAGAGAAGTTGTCGTATTATCCTTCCCAAAACCACTGAGACTTTGAATCCGATTCTGCGAATCTTTGAGGTCGTTTCCTTTCTGTCTTAATCGTTCGACGTCGTTCTTCCTCCTTTTATAATAATTCGCTACTGACTCGTTGCATTGCTCAGTTGTCAAATCGTCATTTCTCATCTGCTTCAACCTCCGCTTGAGTCTGCTGGGTCGCGCTTTTATTGTCGGAGATGGACTATTTGTCTGTCGACTGACAGGAGCGGTGGGCAGAAAATCATCATCATCGGAGTTGCTGGCTGGTTGGATTATTGCTGATTTCACCTTTCGTTCTGTATTATACTTGGTTCCCATGCAATCAGAAGAATGTTGAACAATGTCGGAGGAAGGAAGCGACTGTAAGCACGTCGGGCATGGAACGGAATCAAGAACAGAATTAGCGTTTGATTGTGTGGGCTTTGATGGGATAGTTTCCACCTGAAATGAAACCATGTAGTTAATATGTTGCCACTAGTCATGGCATCCTACACGAAAGTACCTGCGATAATTCAGTAGAATCCCTTCCGGAGCTGGGAAATGAAGAATTTTGATGGTTGAAGGCATCAGGCGATATCCTGTTGATGAAATTGTCGTCATCACTATCTAAACATATTAAAGGCACATTTTGTTGGACTTGTGCAGGTTTGTTAAACGCATTAATGACAGTTATCTCGTCGTCGGAGTCAATAACGATGATGGGATTCCTTTTGGTATCTTGGTTAACAGGCAGAGGTTGCGCAGACTGATGATATGGATCATCATCGTCGTCGATTGTTACGATAGGCGTGCTCATGATATAATTTAAAAATAGCTAATAATTATTGGATAATCTACCAGAATGGATCGTGTCCGAATTTGAACGAAATAAACAACAAGTTGGGGAAGAACACAAATTCTTGCTCTCTGATCTTCAATCGACATTCAACAGATATCATCGGGACATATCATCGGGGCATATCATCGGTACAAGAAGGGAGAAGTATTCTTTCAGTGTCCCATCGAAAAACAAGTAATTTTATTGTCGATACAACACCTATCGATCTCTCCCTCCGAATGGCCTCATCTTCCGCCACCTCGAAAACGGGTCGGCCGTTGTCGGTGGAATCAATTTTAAAAAACAAACCATCATATTCCTTCTATTCATCTGACGATGCGATTGTTATAGATTTGGGATCATTGTATTCAAAAGTTGGATTTTCGAGCGACCACTCTCCAAGATTCATCATCCCGTATCGCCCGCCCAAACCTCACCCGAGCCCAAATGATTTGCTACAATTATGTAGCCTTGAATTCACGCAATCTGATACAGAATATGTCATTTCGATATTGCGAGATCACTTATTTGATGTGTTCTTCAGGTACATCTCTACTATAATTCATTACCATTAAGGAGACTCGGCGAAATGAACTCACGTCAAATTGAAGATACCTTTTATGTGACCCAAAGAACAAATCTGTTGTGCTGTGTGAGAATCCTCTCATGCCAGTCCGCCTGAAAGAAGTCATTGCTCATGTCTTATTCGATTACTTTCAGGTTTGGTTGTTTTCAATATGTTTGGTGACATTCTAAACTAATTGAGTTTACTTATCTAGATAGAATCTCTTTCGTTCGTTCCTTCTCCATTAGCATCATTAATGACTCTTGGCCAAGAAGATGGGATTGTGTTTGACTGTGGTCATCTGGAAACCTTCGCAATACCTGTAAGCTGCTCTGGAATTTTACGATTAGGACTTTATGTTGAACGATTTTTGCTCGTAGATTTATGATGGCAGGCCCCTGATTACATCCATTCACAGTATTCCAATCGCGGGAAATTCCGTCACGCAACGACTGAAGGAGCTCCTTGTCCGTTTCGGCTCCCTTTTGACACCTTTGAATGACGGTACTTCCTCTTCTCAGACGTCCATTAAAAGTAGCAGTCAGGGAGTTTGGCTTGAATGGGCCGTATGGGCATTAGGGGGTCCACTTGAAAAACAACAAATAGAGGAAAACGAACACACGACGGGATATACTTTGGTGCCTTGGGATAATTCTGTCATCGAATCGATTTTAACTTTAGAATTTCTGGAAGAAATCAAGAGTCGAGTGTGTTTCGTGGGGGATATCCCAAAAGAGGAAGAATTTGTCGTGGGGCAACAACCCGTTGAAACTACAAAGGCTGATCACGATCCTAAATTGGTCCAACAATATAAAATATACAAAAGTACAGCAACAACAGTCTATTATCCTCTTGGGGATAGAGGTACGAAGGTTACTGGCAGTAAGAATATGAAATTAATTATTCCTGGTTGGGTGCGAGAACGAGCGGCAGAAGTCTTATTCGAAGGAGACGATGACTCTAAATCTATAGCGACTTGCATCCTCGATGCACTTAAATCGGTAAATCCTGCGTCTGTTCATCTAAAACTTTATTTACATTGTCTTGCTGATGAATTAATTGATTTAGTCACCGTCTGATACGCGCTCGACATTATCGAAAACTATCCTTCTCACTGGCGGCACATCGATGCTTCCTGGTTTCTACAGACGAGTCTACGCTGAGCTTGATGCTATGATAGGATCCAATAAATTTTACGAAGAGCTGAAGGGCCTGTTAAAGCTATTGCTGTTGCGAAAACCAGGTGATGGTGTGATTCATTGCAACATCTCGAGTTGGGTAGGAGGTATGAAAGTCGTTGTATTGGTAGGCTTATCTGATGAAGGCGATGGCTGACATTAACCTTTATTTGCAAAGCCTCCATTGCCTCATCTGCCAAATTGTTGTCGCCGAAATTCGAATTTACCAAATCTCAATACGCATCAGCCCTGTCTCAGTCCAACTCACCGCCTTCATCAGAGCCGCTACCACAAACAAGTCCGATGGATCTTAAAATTTCGTCGTTAGAATCCCATAGCGTTAATGCTATTCCCGACTGGAGCAATCAGCTCTACGCAGCCTTAGATCATGAAGCACCGAAAGAGAAGGAAACGAAAAGCGTTTTAGGTAGAAATTGGGGAATCGGTAATACGAGTATCTCTGCCAAACGGTATAGCCGCTTAAGCAGTGGTGAATATAGCAGGACAGGTATTGTAGGTCGATCAAGTCCTGTTGGTGGTGGCAGACAATCTCATATCGTTAGTGATTCCGGAAAAGAGAATGTAGAATAAAATAACTTTCGGTACTGAATTAGCATATTTTATTAATCGGTGGGATAAGTTTCAATACCGAATTAGAGTATATTTTAGTAATTAGTGGGTTGCGAAAGAAGCACTATTGATATGATATTGCCACACTTTATTTCATTCTGTTCAAAGTGGGCTAAGCCAAGAAAAGCGAACCTGTATCTCGCTTTGGAGGACTTTCGAGGACAGCATATGGGCCCGAATGACAGTTC